GAATAAAAACGCCTTTTTTTTTGTTATAACAGCTGGCTTTTCTATTTTTATTTTTTTTTTCAATAACAGATGATGAGAAAAGCGTCGATTTTTCTGCGGAGTTTTTCATCCCGGGATCTGCCTTATAACCCAACCGAGGGAAGATTTTTAAAATATTATTATTATTATTATTATTATTATTATTATTATTATTTGGGGAGTTCAAAAGCTACCTGTGGCTTCTCCGAGTTAAAACATAAATAAATAAATCCCCCGTGAACTTCTATATTTCTCTTCTGAAGCCCAAAGGGGTGTGAAATATTTATTCCAAGTTTTGAAAAAAAAAACTTTTCGTGGACAATTGAGTGGGCCTCCCACAAATTTCGACTGCTTGATTTCTTTCTTTTCTTTTTTTTTAAAAAAAATTATTTATACATTTTTCTTTAACATATATAAGTATTTAAAAGACAGTGTATTGTCTGAGTCATTTTACATATACATAATAATACCGTGTTTCTCCGAAAATAAGACCCTGTCTTATATTTTTTTGAACCCCAAAATAAGCTCTTGGCCTTATTTTCGAGGAGGTCTTATTATTTTGGGGCGCCTGGAGCAAGATGGGGCTCCTCTTGCCGTCTTACCTGATTTCCAGCTCTGCATTTAAGTATTTTCGGGGAGGGCTTATTTTCGGGGGAGCTTTTTTTAGCACAGGCGCTCAAAAGCCTGAGTGGGCTTAATTATTTAATATTTTATTTTATTTATTTAATATAATTTATATGTCACCCTATCTCCGGCTCACAACAAGTAAAAACAAAGCCAATAAAAGACATAAAATACATAAATATACATACATAAAATACATACATGTATAAATATATAGTTTAAACATTTATTATCGGGGGATGTTTTATTTTCGGGGAAACAGGGGTAGTAATAATAACATTCTTTACTTGTATATTATGGTATTCTTCCAGCTTCTAATTTCTACCTTTATTATCTAACCATTGATGAAACAAATCCCAAATTAATATATATATATATTCTGTGCCTTCTTTATTCTTTATCTTTAGGGTTAACCTATCCATTTCCTCACAATTGAAATTTTTTAAAATTATATTTTCATTTGAAGGAGCTTCCTCATTTTTCCAGTGTGGTGCGAATACAATTCTCGCTGCCGTCGAAACATATAGTATTAAATAGAGATTCCCTTTATTATATTTTTCTGGCCAAATAACTAACAAAAATATTGCTGTCTTTAAATCTATCCGTGGCTTTATCATTTTCTCTTCATTTCTTGGTTTCTCGTTGTAATAATTGCGTATCGGAATGTGATTTTTGAAGCCACTGCATATGAAGAACGCATTGTTGCAGGAATTGGGGGTGTCTAGTTTAATGAAAAGAAGGACTAGGGGAGACATGATAGCAGGATTCCAATATTTGAGGGGCTGTTCCAAAGAAGAGGGGGTCAAACTATTCTCCAAAGCACCAGAAGGCAGGACAAGAAGCAACGGGTGGAAACTAAGGAGAGAAGCAACCTGGAATTAGCGAGAAACTTCCTGATAGTGAAAACAATTAACCAGTGGAACCACTTGCCACCAGACGTTGTGGGTGCTCCATTACTGGAAGTCTTCAAGATCTTCTACTTGGGCAGGGGGTTAGACAAGAAGGCCTCCAAGGTCCCTTCCAGCACTATTCTAATTGATTGATTGATTGATTGATTGATTGATTAATTGATTGAAGTGGTCTAGGGCAGGGGTGAAATCCAACAGGTTCTAACAGGTTCTGGAGAACCGGTAGCGGAAATTTTGAGTAGTTCGGAGAACCGGCAAATGCCACCTCTGGCTGGCCCCAGAGTGGGGTGTGAATGGGGATTTTGCAATATCCTTCCCCCAGGAGTGGGGAGGGAAGGGGGACTTTGCAGTATCCTTCCCCTGGAGTGAGGTGGGAATGGAGATTTTGCAATATCCTTTCCCTGCCACGCCCACAGAACCGATAGGGAAAAAATTTGGATTTCACCCCTGGTGTAGGGACTCCTGCTTGAACAGGGGGTTGGACTAGAAGACCTCCAAGGTCCCTTCCAACTCTATTCTGATTGAACTCACCGAGCCAAGTTACTCTCTTGTGTCTTGACGGTCTATGGGAGACAGTCTTGTCTTCTACGTTTTGTCCAGTCACCTTGAAATTCCGGCTGTTTGCACGAGGCTTACGAGGCCAACGAATTTCGACGTTAACGGGTGCGTGAAGCGAAGGACGAGAGTTCGAGGACGAATCCCGAAACCCTCCTCTCGTTGCTTGAATGGCCTCCACCCCGGCCCTCCCCACGCGAGTCTCACGCCTTCTGTTCCTCGGTGTGACTCACACCCAATGCATTTCATTCTCTTTTTTATTTATTTATTTATTTTTATCTCCTGCGCAAAGTAATTAGGTCAGTCGATCGCATGACCTCATTGCTGACAGCGAAAAGTTTTCTCCTTCAAACAAACTTGCAGGAATGCAGCTCGGAAGAAAAAATTAGCAAGCTGGAAATCCTCAGGGAGGGTCACCAGGATGTATTTTGGCCCTATCCCCCCCCCCCCACATCCATCACACACACACACACCCGTCCCCTCCATTGTGGTTGTTCTCCTTCCTCCTTGGCTGTTGTCCTCCTGGACTCTGGAGAGCATCTTCCGAGGAGACAAGATACAACTTACAACTTACAAACAGTTCCTTTAGGGACCGTTCCAAGTTACGACGGCACGGGGGGAAAAAGTCAATTAGGACCGTTTTTCTCACGCTTAACGACCGTCACAGAGTTCACGTGATCCAAATTACGACCGTCGCAGTGTTCACGTGATCCAAATTACGACCGTCGCAGCGTTCACGTGATCCAAATTCGGACGCTTGGCAACTGTATTTAGGACAGTTGTAGCATCCCTGACAAAATTTCCTGAGAGTTAAAACAATTAACCAGTGGAACAGCTCGCCACCAGAAGTTGCGAATGCTCCAACACTGGAAGTTTTTAAGAAGATGGTTGGCTAACCGTTTGTCTGAAGTGGTCTAGGGTTTCCTGACTGAGCAGGGGGTTGGACTAGAAGACCTCCAAGGTCCCTTCCGGAATAACTCTGTGATCCTGTTTTCTGTCCCCGGGGTCAGGCGATTGTCCTTTTTGTGACCTTCTGGCCATCAAAGTCAACGGGGAAAAGAGATTCACTTAACCACCATGTTCCTAACTTAATAACCGCAGTGACTGACTTAACAACGGTGGCAAGGAAGGTCGTAAGACGGGGCAAACCTTGCTGAACGAATGTCTCACTTAGCGGCATGAATTTTAGTCTCAGTTGTGGTCCCAGGGAGGCCGCAAAGGTGGTAACTGTGAAAAACTGTCCTGTGTTCCTTTTTCGGGTGCTGTTGTCACTCTGAACGGACACTAATAATAATAATAACTTTATTATCATTGTACATATATACAACGAAATTCACTTAACACCCAAAGACCAGGTCCAACACACATAACAATTCCCAAACACAGTCCCACCCACCACAAATTCCCCACCCCTAAACCACCCAAACATCCACACAACAGCCTTGGTGGAGCCTTGGTGGTGCAGCAGACTAAAGTGCTGTTAAATAGCACCAGCTGCCTGCAATTACTACAAGTTCAAATCTCACCAGGCTCAAGGTTGACTCAGCCTTCCATCCTTTCGAGGTAGGTAAAATAAGGACCCGAATTGTGGGGGCAATAAGCTGACTTTGTATTAAAAAAAAGAACACCGCTTAGGGGGGGCCGAAAGCCCTACTAAGCAGGTATATACAAAAGTATGAAGGCTATTGCTTAACGCGTTGTAAGCCGCCCTGAGTCTCCGGAGAAAGGACGGTATATAAATCGAACCAATAAATAAATAAATAAACAATAAACAGACTAATTCTGTCCAACAGCTCACCGATGGTGGCCCTTTAGTTCATTGTTGAGTGCAATTATAGCTCTGGGATTAAAAACTATTCAGGAAAACGTGTGGTCCGAGTTTGAATTTAACTAAATTTAACTAAACAAATGGTTGTAATTCGGGAAACCAAACTGTACAAGTTCTATACTGTTGTATTTGAAGGATAGGAAGCGAGAGATCTTGATTTTCCTCCTGGAGAAAAAAAAAAAATCATCCACTCCATTTGCCTTTTTTTAAAGATTAAAAACCACTTTGGAATACAGGTGAGGTAGCCCTCCGTTTACGGCCACAATTGAGGAGCCCGGGATTTACGTCGCGAAGGGAGAAATTTGTTGGGTGAGTTTTTGACGCTCGGCACATTCGTTAAGCGAGTCAGCTGTTTGGTTAGGTTCAACCCGGTTGTTAAGCGAATCCGGCTTCCCCATGGATTCTGGCTCGTTGGAAAGTCGCAGAAGGGGATTACGACGGCCGACGGTCGTAAACGCGAGTCAGTGGCCCGGCATCCGAATCTCAATACACACAACCACGGCGAGGCATGGCTCATCCAAAACCCTGAATCCAAAAAGTCCTAAGTGCCTTTTTCCCCCAGTGCCGTTCTCTAACAGCCAACGGTCACTAAACGAATCATTGTAAGTCGAGGACTAGCTGTATAACCCCCGGGGTTGGCTTCTTTCTGCCTGTTTGCCGGTCCGCAGCCAGCACGCTCTCCTGCACCTGGGGAGAGCCGTTCCCCAAAGCGCTGGGCTAGTAGGAATGCGTAAATGACCTCGGGGGTTTCCTAGATGGGAGCAAGGGGCGCGCAACGGGAGGGGAGGGGAGAGCGCAACTGCCAGGCTAGCTTCCCCAGGGTCAGGATAGGGCAGACTGGCTGGCTGGCTACCGACGACCACCCCTTCTCCTGCCCAGCGGAGACCCTCTGCTCTGCGCCCGGCCTGCCTCTCCAAAGCGCAGGGGAAAGGTGCCACCGCGCGCACCTGCCGGGCAAGAAGCGCGCAAGAGGGAGGAGCCCTGCGGCGCAGGAGGAGGAGGAGGAGTCTGGCGGGGCTGCCTGCTCCCCTCCCTCCCCCTCTTCTTTCCTTGCGCCCCCCCCCCCC